TTCGACGGTTGGTTTTGCATTACAAACTGTAAAAACAGTTTGAATGCGAATTGTGTTTAATTAAGCACTTATAAAACAATCAGTTTTATATTTATATTGAAATTGAAACACATAGTAAGTACGTATATCACTGGTTTGTTTACACTCGCGTCGAAACACGTCTGCTCGATACGACGTCTCAAACCGAACTCCAGACTGTTGTGTTGAAGTCGCCAGTACATGATCTCAATAGACCGATTTACTATTCTTCCCAATAATTGTCCTTTCCTCAATTTCTTTTACTTTTAGATATTTACACGCGTCATGTGTGTGTGAAATATAATGTAAAATAATTGTCGTAATCATCTTTAATGAAGAAACTTTATATTTGAGTGCAGAACTCATATTATTAAGATTTTCTAATCGAAACCTTTTGATATCTTATTGCCATTCGTTTACACTTTAATTACTTAAATAGATCGTTTGTGTAATGTTGATATCGCTGATCGTAGTATAGGCCTAGTGGGGACCCGCTACGTTAAATAATGGGAACGTATCGACTGCGGCACTTCTTGGGTGATGTGGAAGCCCGCAGGTTGTCGTTGTTATGCCTTTATTGTAATAAGATAAATAAATTAATTGGATATACTCTTTAATCTGTTAATCCCATTTGCAAAAGCACATTTTTTTTGTAAAAAGAAAGTGCTCTCCATAGAGGGGTCTCGAACCATAGACCTCCCGATTCGTAACCGGGTGCACTAGCCAGACGCCAGAAACATCTGTTTGTTTTACTTTTTTCGGAAGTTGTATTTCCAGAATTTCATCGTTTATTCAACTGCTTACTATTGTCGTTTCGCCTACTTTACATATAAGCAGAATAATATAAAGATGCCCACCAGTTAAGAACTTTCGCGCCACCTTTTCCCACGTGGACAAACAATTACTGACAGAGATAATGCTCATTTCCATATTTGCTTCTCAAGATTATTGATTCCAGGTAATGAAGTCAGCTAATTATTTTCTCATAGTAAATCTTATTGAGTTTACATTGGGCGCGGGAACTGAACATTGCAAATAAAAAAGTATTTATAAGATTATAAGAACCAGCGACAGCAGTAACAGCAATAGGAGACCCCTCAGCGAGAGAGGACCCCGCAATCGCTCAAGTCGTCGGTCGCGCGGCACGAGCGGGCGTTTAAAATATTAGTCGATTCTGTCATAGATAAAATTTAAAAAAAATATATAAACTTAAAATAAAGTTTGGGCAACCTAGAAAGGTTAAAAGAGAGAAACCTTGAACAATTTTTGTATTAAAATGAAAAAAAAAAAGAAGATGGAAAAAGAGTTCTTCATGGGGGATCGAACCCGTAACCAGCAGCGTTATATCTTGACAGGTTATTGACTCAGCCACGATACTCGTTTAATACTAAATTAAATTTATTATAGATATTTATCTATGATATTTCAAAATTTCTCTTTGAACTGTTCTCGGTCGTTTCATTTACCAACGAATTTCGCCATTCATTTTTTATGTTCATTTTCGGCATGATAAGAGGTAAAGAGTAAAAACCAATATTTCTATGCATTTTTTATAACTTTGAAATTTATTTGAATATACACATTTGTTTGCGCATTACGTCCATACAAATGTTTAGGGTTCGGTTGGATGGAAGACCTTGCTGCCCCGCCTGTTTGTCAAGAACGGTTTGTGAGGGGCGGCAACTTTTTCCCCACCACCGAGCAATCCATTCATTTTCGCTGACTGCAATATCGGCTGGAAGGATGATCATGACCCTCGCGGCTACGCGAAATCTGTAACATCGACAGAGGCGATGATCACGAAATCCTAATCCCGGACTCGCCGCTACGATTTAGCGCCATGTTTTTGGTATCGCCTACAACCGTAGCGTTGTGCATCTCCCTACTGATCTCTACCGGAGCGTTGTGCATCTCCCCACTTATCTCTGGCTACCAGTACTTCATACTACGTCACATCATTTCGGAACACTTTCACAGCATACTTTATCAGCGCCATGCTGTAAGTGCTTACAGTGTGTTACGGAACACACCCTAAGAGATTAAGACAAAACTAAGAGATTTGTATCCAAGGTTGGTTGGTATTGCATTTGGGCCGAATCCATCGAGAAGTTTTGATTTTATATTTTGAATTTTTCGAAAAATCAATTTTATCGTTGTAACTAGCGCTTACTTCAACGAAACAAACCACAATTCTCTGCAAGTATGAAATATCATCTAGCCGTAATACATATGAAATTTGGCAAAGATCAGTCAAGCGAATTTAATTTTATATCAATTCGAAATTTTGCGGATCGGTAGTAAATGAATATTCATCTGAGGAAGCCAAAGATTTAAAAAAATGAAAATGCTTCCTCATATAGGGACTTGGTACACTACCTTCGATTCGGAGGAAGCAAATTTCAAGTTTCAACTTGCGGCTTGTTTTATTCTCCTTCTGATTAACATAAACTATGGCATGTGTAAATTTAAATGAAAATAACTTTAGGGATTTAGTAATAAAAAGTCGGAAGTTCAAATAATGAATTGTACACATGAAATCTTACTTCTTATTCATTTATTTTTTTTTCTTTAATTTATTCATCATTTTCTTTAAAATATAAACGTAAAAATGACCAATCGTTTCAATATCAATTTTATTTATAATTAATATAATACTTCTATTTACAATAATATATACATTATAACAGTCATTATACTATTTTAGGTACCTTCAAAAATTGTCTCGAGTTATTTTTTTCGATAGCAAGCAATTTCTGTGGGAAAATGTGTTTATTTACGACGAAAGACAAATCAATATAATTCACAATTTAAGCGGAAAGAGCTAATGTTCCAAAGGAAAAGGTTGAGCAAAATGGAAATTCATAGGAAATTCATATTCATTCACGGAAATTCAAATTCGTACCTGTATTAAAGGTTTGGACAATTTTGAACACACTTTCCCATTAAAATTGTTTTCCATAAAATTGTATAATTATAAAAGAAAGACCGAATTATCACTGGAGTGCGCATTCACACACATACGCACAAACACACACAACTTGTTTTTCTCTCTCTCTTTATTTCCTTCATTATATTCTTACACTCCATTTTACAAGTGCAATAAAACAATGTATGTTATTCCAAAAAGTTTTGTGAATGTAACAAATGTTTCTCGCTTCTATATTATTTAATAACTCATTCGATTTATTGTGTATCATTCTATTGTTAAGAATTACGTTGACCTTATTTATTTTGCCATTATACAATCTGAGGTATACTTTTCCTGGATTGCTGTTGGATTTAAGATGAATAGTCAACGGACACAGTACATACGTACTAGGCAATAAAAAGTTTTTTCTTCTCATTTTTATCTAGTTATTTGGTAATAAATTACAGAATCGCACTTAGTGTTACTATAATTGTTTCACTTCCATGCCGATTTCTAGATTTTTTGACTGGAGTCAGTAAGCGTATAGCGTCATTGTCCTGCAGACTCAGCCGAACTCCAATTCTTTTTATTTTTTACGAAATAACTTATCAAATATTTAACGTCTGGAACAATAAATAAAAATTTGTTTACTCTATCAATTCATTGTGAATTTTATAAAGGGTTGAATATACTTATGGAATATTTCAATAATTTTACTACTATTGTTCAGTGAGAATTTTAATTCATTTAAATAAGTTCATTAATAGTATAAATGATTCTCGGCATTATTATGTACGTTTCCATCATTCATTGTGTCGTAGTAAATCATGTTAAGCTACACAAGAACATACATGTACGCAGGTATCTCACAGCATACGAAAAACTCATTAAGAAAATGGTGATTTGCGACTAGATCACTAACAAAGTTCGTTGAGCAATTTTAACAATTCTAGCCTCAAATATCAACTCTGCTGATGAATTGCAAGTTGCCATGATATTAATTATGTGAATTGATCAAGTTTGACGGTATTTTTCTGTATTTGATTCGTAAATGAAAGCTAATAGCATCATTTTGTTAACAATTTCTAAATTTGTTAAATTCAATGGACAGTTTATATTATTCAAAAAAATGACAGACATTGAGATTTTTCATTATAGTTTGAGAATGTAAATAAATAGTAATTGGCTGCTAAACAGTTATATCTATAATAAATAAATTTTAAAAGCTATATAATTTGTGATATAATTATAACAACATTACAAAAATTTCATTTGTATAAGAACAATATTCAGAAAATTATTTTTGAATATAATAAAACTGCCCATTACCTACGCCAAATTTATCAGGCTGGACAATATTATATCGCTTGATTGAAATTAAAAATATCTTTGGATCTTAAAATGAGTCTACAATTCATCGAAATTTCATTGATAATTAATTATTTCAATTATGCTACAAGAAACACTTTAACAGTGCTGCTATTGGATTGTTCAGTTTAAGAAAAATATATGTATACATTCATATTGGTTACAGTAATATCAGGCACTGTCAGCCCTTGATAGAGGACTTTACAACGTACTTTGGTTATACAAGTTATAACGTAACGTCAAATATTGGAAATGTTTATTATATTTAAGGTTTACCGTTACCTTTACATAATCTATCAAAATTAATGCTTTATTTATTAAATTTGGTAAATAAATATTCATTGCAATGCGACATTTCTATTTTGCAAACATTTAATTTAGTAAAATACATGGTAAAATCAGCAGTAATAGAATGCGAGTTTCCACGATATTTCATTGTTCAATGCATGCTTCATAATAAAGTTTGCACCTTTTATAGATATTTTGTTTCAAGTTTCATGATCATTCCATAAAATCTTAAGCCCCAATTCATTTAGAACATCACATTGTTACCTCAACAAACTTTCACAATAACACGTATTCCTCGACTTATCTTAAGATGCCTAAAACATTGTTTCAATCGTATAGACGTCTTAAAGATGACTCTTGGACAATATATGTTAAATTTCTAATAACAAAATGTACAAGGTAATTAACGACTCACGAGTTACAATTCCTTAAAGCAACGAAACTTTAAATTTATTTATAGTTCAAACGATGCAAAAATTGTGACCTAAATATTACAAAAGGTATTGATTAGAGAAAATATAATTCGTGGGTTTAACAATGATATCCTTCCTTAGTTTTGATATGGACCCTTCCAAGTGTTATGGTTGGTAGAACAGCAGATGTTTTCTATGAACTTTCTCTACTATAAGGCTATGTATTAAATGGCGCACAAGCTGCAGTAAGTACGAATCATATAAGTATACCAATATTTAACGAAATTGTATTCTTCTCTGATATAATAGAAACAGATTATAAGAAATGTTCAGTATAAGTAGCAATTCATTAAATGCCAATAAGCTAATCTATGCATAATTATAGAAAGATTTTTATTGAACAAAAGTCATTGAAATGTTCATTATTGTCACAGTGTGAATTTACATTGAAAGTCATTAAATATCTTTTCTACCAACCGCACACCCATGAAATGAAAAGTTTGTTTAACACGCGTAGAAATGTCACGTCATTGATTGACATCGCGACTGATATTTATAAAAACAATAAAATGGCCATATACAGTTCTTTACAACAGATATCATTAGACCTCACTATGCATGTTCTCTCAAGGGCCTAAACCTTCTTCTCGCGGATAATTCAATCATATCCTACGCATTTCTGCAAAAGTTATTCCATGAAACTTTCAGTGTTTCATATTTGAGTAAAATAATGCTCTGTCTGAATCGTGAAAAACCTTAACTTATTTTCGTGGTACCATTGTGGTTCATCTTGTGATTAACTATCCATCCATCTTCTTGTACGGTCTTCAGATAATCTTCTAAAAGTGTCGCAAGGTTACGCCGCTTGAATCGCATTGATTCTTTCACGACATCACGCAGAAACGCAAGTCGTATGTCTAAAGTACCTTGAATTTGGTGCAAATGTGAAAATAACGTGGCATAATCTGCAACAAAAAGATCGCATTTTTATAAAATTAAAGGCTTCTTAAGTATGTGAAATATCGCGAAATTATTATAAATATTTTTGGAGTATGTAAAAATGTACTGCATACATATCTGCACTATGTTTACTAAAAACTATCTTTTAGAACTATAAATACTCAAAAGGACAACACACATCACACACAAATCTTAATTGCTTGAATGTCATCTACAGAAAACATCTTGCGCAGACAAACTAATTATAAAGTGTTATTTGAATAAGACATATGTTCTTTCAAACTAAAAAACCGTTTTACAGTGTATTTACAATGTTGCCAATGTTCAGTGTTTTAAGTGTAGTAAGAGTATTATATTACGAGTGGTTAATTTTACTTATATCCTGCACAATGGAAACGTTACGAATGTTATAACAATTTTATTTCTGTATCGCTATTAATCAAACGATATATCATACACCTAATAACCATATCTGATATAAAGTAAATGAATTAAATGTATATAATAGACGTAAAATTGAAATCAAATTGAGAATTGAGATGGTCATTAATAGAGATTATTAATAGAAAATCCCGATTAAAACATTGGAAACTATAAAATAATTATATAATACATAATTATATTAAGTTGTAAGCAGTGCCCACCGAAAAAAAAGCATAATGGTATACTTAATAATTTTCAGATAAATAAAATTGTAATGAATAATTAACTGATTTCAAAGAATTCGTTATTGTTTAAAAAAATGTTCACAGTAACAGATTAGCTTACTATTAAACTTATATATAGAACATGTCACATTATGCCAATCTAAAATACTTACTTGTTCCCCGTCTCCGTACTTCCTTATACACAAGTTCTCTAACAGACAAATTGTGCCTTCTAATGTCGTCCAATTCCTTCTTGGACAACGGTATTGGCTTTTCCGTCTTAGGCTCGTGTTTTTCCTCAACATGATTGGCCAATCTTTCATCGACAGCACTTTCGACTTTAACACTATTTTGATTTTCAGTACAATCATTGGGTGTTAATCGGTTACACTCCAATTTCAAGTGATCTAACCGTTCAATTTTTGTTTCACTTTTTGGAGTTTCAATATTATTCACTACCACTGGTGTTAACGCTGGTGGTATATCCGAACGATTATTAACAACCGGGTCCACTGGAATAGGTTCAAATACCGGTATCATCGGAATATCCGCGAGACCATTCACTAACTTTTCTGGCAGATTTGTAAGCACTGTGCTCGTTAGAACGGGAATGCCGCTTAAACTTGATAGAACGTTCGAATTGCCAGTTGGAACGACCTGATTCTTCGTTTCATTCATCCATGGTATTGGAGAAACTGGCGGTGTATTGGCGGGGGAGTATGAAGGCCGTCGAACGACAACGTCTTTAGGAATTGGTCCTGGCTTTCTTTTGTTTGGTGGGGGCCTTGATGCAAGTGGACCTCCATTGTCAGAAGGTGGTAACGTGCGTTTGATACCACCCCCTTTTGAAGTAGAGGTTGGTCCCGCCATATCTATGTCCGCCTCATCCACCATCATTCTTTTATCGATCTTGAAAGGATTACCTGTACATACAAAGATAAATTAACTGTGACAATAATGTGTCTGACGGAGCGTAACATTATTACTTAACTAAACAATATGTAGCTGTGCTATAATTCAAATGGAGGGACGTGGGTTTACTGAACTAATTTGTTGAGTGAATATACATACATATAATGACGATACGTCGATAAACCCCTCCACAGATTTTTCATCATACCGTGCAGTTATTTTAAGCTTATTTTACCTCTAAAGCCGATTTATCTAACTTTTTAAGGTACGAGAGCTATACGACCATCAGTCAAACAACCTTCTTTAAAATGTCTTTTCTAAATTTCCCATAAAAATATATCCATAGTGACATCAACGTTATGATTAACGTTAAGATTAAATTAAATATTAAAACAGCTCATGAGTAAATTATTGCAACAATAAAGCAATACTTTTCAGTAAAATAATCATTTGTAATGGCATAACTTAGTTATCTACAATTTCTTACCGAACATGTGTTGTCTGACAGGTACACTTTCAATCTCTCTCAAGGGAGGGGTCATGCGTTTGAGATATTCTTGATAATTTCCCATCTGGGCCACCGGCATCGAATGAACGTAATCGTCATCAAGCAATTTTGTATGCAACAATCCAGGTTGTAGAAAATTAGCACGCATTCGAACCACTTGGTCTAGAAGGGACTTTCTTGGTACGTCAAAAGCATTTCTATAACTTTGGGCTCCACGCTGCTGTTGTTGATTTCTTACTAATCCAACGACAAATCCACCAAATTCATTAAGCTGGTCTCGAAGTCCCGTAAATTTGTCTTGTAACAGTGGATGCGACACCTGAATTGAATTGAAAATAATATACTTGTTTATTTTTTTATTATACGGTTTTCGCTAAACATTTCATTAAACATAATGTATACTGAATTTTCGAGATTGATTCCACATTCAGGAAATTCTTCTGCGCTGCAAACCCTTAAAATGGGTTCTATGACGCGATCCAACCTTAACTGTATTTCAGTGGTGTTCAGAATATAAAAAACTTTATAAACCAACATATCTAATAATTTTGAATCTAGAAAAGCTACTTACCAATGAATGCCCACTAATAACATACTTTGAATATGACATTTTAATATTAAAAAAATCTTACCAAATCTTTCTTCAGAGGTGTTCTAGGAATAACTCGAACGCCTTCAGTTACAGTATTTGAGTTACCATTTGCCAAACTTTTGTTCATATTAGCATTGGCGACTTGCTTTGAGATAACTTCGTTGCACAACCGATCAAATTCTATCTTTGCCTGATTTTTTAATCGCTTTAGGTAATTTAAAACACTGTATGACAGCGAGTTATCCATGTTGTCAGGAATTAATGTCTGAGCGAGTGGTGTGGGTGCACCCATTCTCGTTAGCGCACGTCTCAATGACTATAACAATAAAATATAAATTTCGGTTTTAAGTTTCCTTGAAAAAAAAATACTACCGTTCACCATAATTGGTTGACAATAATTGATATTAGATACTGAAACTTAATAAGTTTCCGAAAATGTCATTAGTACAGAATTCTAAAAAATGTACTATATAAAATACTTAATGTTCGGTAATATCAGTTATATTTTTAAAAAATCGAATCGTTGCTTACCGCTGCATAATAAGTAGGCATTGTTCGCATATAGTTTTGAAATTGCGTTCTCCATTCGTTAGTTGGTTTCAACCGGTGTACCTTGAAGAGTTCTTCTAATAACGGCAATAAAACAGGATAATTGTATGGCATGACAAACAAATTGACGCAGGTCAAATTCGTGCTTGCTTTCAGATAGCCAAAGGGATGTCCAACTTCGCTGGATTTGTAAGAATTGGCGACGAACACTTGCCAGCAAATCGTCGGCTGTTTCCTTGCGAGTATATATTGCGTCAATGGACTTGGTTCTAATTCATACTTGTCAAACGGTAGGTTTTCGATGACCATTGGTTCTTGACTGGTACAAGTAAACTTAACATTTGGATGAGCCGATCGTGGCGGTAGGGAACTCGCACTCAAATCGGGCCAAAAACTTTCAGGAATCGGCCAGAAACCAACAGCGAATCCTTTCTGCGCTGACCTAGGCACGTAGATAAGTCTCCTGCATGAGTGCCATGCAGTATTGCCAGGAGCCATAGGATTAAGAGGATATTGATTGCGGAGACCATTACTCGCATTATTTTCATCTTCATTCTCATCATCTTCTTGATATTGCGCCTCGTTTGCTAATGGTGAAGGATCCGGACCAATTTTTTCGAAATTAATTACTACTCCGGACTGTACTTTTTGAACCAGGGAGTCTATACACTGCATCATCATCCTGTGAGACGTTATACAATACGACCGACCTGTGAAAAAAAAATCATGTTATTCTTATATAAAGCATATTATGAAAATCAAGTTCATCTTCGATTTTTTAATTTACTATGAGGAAGATTATCGAAGTAAAAAATTTAGACAATATTCTAAACTGTATTGTAACAATTGTATAATAAATATTTTGACTATATATGCAGTTAGTAGTTTTTTTTTTTCTTAAGAAATAAAATATTTACAAATGATGAATATAAAATGATTAATTGGAGCAATCTGTTAATATGAAGATTACAGTGAATGCGAATCTCATAAAAATTACTAATCTATGAAATATTACATCTTTTGTTAGCAGTTAGGTAGAAGAATTTTTTTCACATAAATGAGCTTATGATTATAAGATATTTCAATCCATATTCAGAAAATACAATACTTTGATATTAATAATGTGTTAAGAGCTTTCTTCCAACTTTCTTATATCAATTTCAAAAAATAGTCATAGGAAACTAGTTTCGTATAAATAGCATAGTATAGAGTTTGTAATTAATTGTAATTTATAATTAATCATTTCTCCTTTTAATTCATAGACTAGTTAAAATTTGATGTGTAATTATTCGTATTTACCTCCAGTAACTTCACACATAGCATCGATTGGTGACGCATCGCTTGCAACCAAACCAGTATCTCTCTCTATTGCAGGCGTACCAGAAAGTCTTAATACCAATGAAAACAATCGTTGATCCCATCTAAACGGCTCTTTAGTCAATTCAGACCCAGGAATCGGAGAGTGCATTGGCAATGTGAACTAGAATGTAAAGACAAATAAACGTAGTGCATAAGACATTGAAATATATTACTTAATCCATATTATTGGATTACTAATAATTAGAAGACTTAATTTCGTATAATTTTGAATTTAATGAATGAAATGTTTGTTTCATGAAAAATTAAATTTTTAGAATGTGTAACAAAATACTGTCATAAAATAACAAAGAATAACTAATTTTTATCAATAAAATAATTGTAATAATAGATAATAAAACTACAAATATCTTACATAGTCCACTTAATGCTACTAGAGATTGCCAAATGTCAAAAATCATAAACTACTCGATATTAAAACATAAATGATTTTCAAGCACACCATATAACCATATTGTTGAACCTCGTAATTGGTACTGACAATCTTATATGAAATAATAAAAAAATGAAAAACCAATACACTTGTTCCTACATAGACTATTTTTCACGTTTTTCCTATGTATGCTAATCCTTCCTTACAGTAATGAAATATGTAATGTGTTTTGTAACTATGGTCTTATGGTAATTTATACAGGGTGTCCCACGCAACTGGAACAGGCTGTACCTCCTAAACGGTTGGGAATAGAAGATGATGTTATGAGTGAAAGTTAAATGGCATCAGACGGTGCATAATATGCAACTAATTTTATGCACTTTTGTGTATTGGTGCATTAGAAAAGTGCAACTGCACTTTTTTTTTTTTAATGGAAACCTATATTTTTGACTACACCAGTCGATGCAGTTTCTTATGCTCTACATAACAGTAGTGACATACTTATGCTCTAAACTTATGCAATAGGGAGTTATCGAAGCTAAAAGTTCTCTGAATTGTTTTGGTTCTCGGCATGTGTTCCGGAGTACCTACGTTATGTTCCATTACATTCGGCAAGAAATATCCAAAATTACGGAAAACGACATCAGGAATGTGTTGCGCATCGTCAAAAAGCGGATGGAAAAATGCTTGAATTGCAATGGAGAACTGTTCGAACACTTGTTATAACGTAAGCACTTAGCAAGACATGCCGAGAGACCAAAACAATTCAGAGAACTTTTAGCTTCGATAACTCCCTATTGCATAAGTTTAGAGCATAAGTATGTCACTACTGTTATGTAGAGCATAAGAAACTGCATCGACTGGTGTAGTCAAAAATATAGGTTTCCATTAAAAAAAAAAAAGTGCAGTTGCACTTTTCTAATGCACCAATACACAAAAGTGCATAAAATTAGTTGCATATTATGCACCGTCTGATGCCATTTAACTTTCAGAACTGCATCGACTGGTGTAGCCAAAAATATAGATTTCCATTCAAAAAAAAGGTGCAGTTGCATTTTTCTAATGCACCGATACACAAAAGTGCATAAAATTAGTTGTATATTATGCACTGTCTGATGCCATTTAACTTTCACTCGTAACATCATCTTCTATTCCCAACCGTTTAGGAGGTACAGCCTGTTCCAGTTGCGTAGGACACCCTATATAGTAAGGTATCAAACTCAAATGAATAATAATTTTTCTTAGTGCAAGCATTGGCCATTAGCAGTTTCTAGACTGTTTTAATATTACTTAACAAGTGATATTGTGTTCAATGGGAAGGAATAATGAAGAATATAAATAGAATGGAGAAAAAAGAAAACTATAAATGTTGTAATGATATAATGATGCAGTAAGAACATATAAAGTCATAACAAAACTTACATCTTGATGAACTCCACTATTAGTTGTATATTTTCCCCCATCGGTAATAACCACAATGACAGATGGTTCTAAATAAAATGGACATCTGCCCTGGCCATATGTATCTATGCCTGTTTGCATACGATTTATGTTCAAGACATCCAGTGCATGCTTCAATGCTGCACCTAGTGTTGTCAATCCAACGCACTGTAGATTTTTAAGCTCATTCATAAACGTTGCCAAATTTTCTTTCCACCCAGCCTGAAATACATAATATAATATAACCTCTCTTTTCATAAAATATCTCAACTACTAATATTAAGCATCCTCAATATAAACACATATGATGACAAATAGAAATATGTAATATAAGAATCAACTTCACATATGAAAAATTAACTGTACATGCTGTATTAGGAAAAGTATAATTATTGTAGCATAATTCTGATCATTGAATATAATTTCTATACTACATTAAGAATGTCTAAAGTTAAACAAATTTCAAGAAGAATATAAAAAAAAGAAGGTAATTAAACAAGAAAAATATAATAACTTTCAGTATATTTTTGATTTTACTATCTAATACTTTTTTAAAATATAAAAGTATATCATTCAAAATATATATCACAGTTATACATTGCAATGGGTCCATTTTGTTCAAATATTCAAATTTTTATAAAATTAAATGAACAACACATATTTATTTCGGAGTAGAATTGACAGATCATTTAATTCGAACCACAATTAGAAACAGCAAAGTTAGCTGATCAAAAGTATCTTAAATAAAATTTTTTCATAAATACAATCTTTATCGGAATCTCATTATCTGTATATTTAAAAAATAGAACTCTATCATTAATGTAGATTGTTATTCTATACAATGTGTTATACTCATTGTATATTTGTTGACTTATTTCCTTAAAAAATGAGAAAAATTAATAACAATAGCACAAGAACAGTGTATATGTATTACGAAGCTATGAATATTAGGTTTTATAGGTCATTTTTTGTTAAATGCTTTCATAGGAAATACATATCAAGCTAATGTTCTTTATAATGTAACAAGCAAGTGGATACAATGATGGAAACTTAAGAAATAAGAATGGAAAAAAATTAAGTAAGCAAATTATAGGCAGATAGATAACAAGCAAGAGAATAGAGAGAAGGATGAACAGGTGAACAGACGAACGGATAAACCGACACAATCACTCAGTTAGTCACGTCCTTTGAAAAAAAAAAAAACTTAAAAAGAAAAAGTAAGAAAGCATCGCAACAAATTTGCCGAGGAGCAATATATACCTTAATATTATGGGGCGGATCTTCGAATGTAAGCAGCATGTACCGATCCCCGCGACTTTCTGGCGATCGTTGTCGCACCTGGAAAAGAATTGGAATTTAGGATATTAAGATCTTAATACGAAATATTTTTTCTCACATAATTAGAAATAACATTATACTGTTGTCTCCATATCAGAGAGAAAAACTACGAGCGTACCTTTACAAAAGTCTCCACAGCACTTTTGGCTACATCCAAAAGCGTAGGGCGCCCGCCCAAATAGGCCCTCTGATTCATGGAGGCCGACGTGTCGATTAGAAAAACTATTATGGTCATCTTCACGGAGCAATCACGCTCGTCCCCGAGGTTTTACCCACGGCTCGAGACGTTTAGAAGTCGAAACTAGCTAGCTAGAGGCCCTACGGCAGCGTAGCGCATAGCTGCTTCAGCCATTCAACGTTCCGGAATCCAACGAAAGCTCTTCTCTTATGGTTCTCCGTGCTCTAATCCGCTGTGCAGCGCCGTGTGCTCCTTTCTGATGTGTTTCGAATCTCTACTGATCTCGACTGTCGAGTGAGCTAGTCGACAGCAGCTGAAAGGCAGACACGAGATCGCAGTATTGTGAGTTAAGAACAGGGCAAGTCTGTCTATCTGCCCGCCTGCTTGCCAGCTCTCACCGTTTTCTTTCCCTCTTTTTTTATTCTCTCTTATGCATCATAGACACGCACACATTTTCACACTCTCTCCCGCTCTTCTTCTTCATGTTCTCGCGTATCTCTCTCTCCCCCCCTCCCCCCGCGCTCTTACTCCTACTCGCATAACCTCCCTCAAGCTTAACTCACTCCCCACTCATATGATACCATCAGAGATGAGTAGGAAGATTGCCAATGGGCCTGTTTTTGGTGGTCTCAATTTTACTCTGGTTTCGGTGCGCCACCTTAGCGGAGGGCCCTCGAAGCAGTTCCACGTTTTTGATTGGTCGAGTATATATAGTAATACTACGCGTGAGAATCTGGAGCTGTGTTTTGGCGCGTCGACGCACAGCCTGAACGAGACTCTCAAACTAGTTCCACGTTTTTGATTGGTCGAGTGAATTCGTGTGTTCCTCGAGATCTACGATTTTAAACCAGGTGAACACACAAATAGGGAGACTTGTATCCACCCTTTCTTACTGCATATTACATAAACCGTAGTAATGAGGTAGTCAATTCTGCCGATGTTAATTCCCTTAATATCCATATGAAGCTTTGTAAATAATAGAGTGAGCAAATAAAACTTTAAACAAATCCTCGAACGTGGATAACTACACAAATATAAATTTTCCAATTTATATAGCACAATGGCTCTGTAGCACACGTGCTTGGTGCTGGATTAACGTCCGAGAATCTCGATTTCGGAACCTACGTCTCATCCCCTTTTTTTTTTCTTAATTATCAACTATGCTTATTGGTTCACCTAGTTAACTTAAGATTCATTAAATATCTTATATATAAAAATCTCGTGTCACGGTGTTTGTGGTCGAACTCCTCCGAAACGGCTCTACCGATTTTCATGAAATTTTTTATGCATATTAGGTAGGTATGAGAATAGATCGTAAAGTATATTTCATACCGCTAGGTGATTAGGGTGTCCCTATCCAGAAAAATTGTTTCTATTTTTTTTGACAAACATTTTTTTTATTGTATTCTTTTTTATTTGGCATCAGAAAATACCTATAACTCCAAATTTTCACACTCCTACCCCCACCCTTCCATTTTTTAATACGCGATAATCTTATACGCGGTTTTAGTATTTTTTTTATGGAATAATTTAACCGTCGTTCGTATTTCAAACAGAACGAAATTATTTATGTTGTTGAATGATGGATGGCGCCACGTCCGCCTCTCATCCACGCATGCGTCACGCACCACGTCATTTTGACATTTCATCATGAAATATCAATTTTGATTTATAAGCAATATATACGTATTTTATGATTGTAAGAAGGTTGGTAAAATACTAAAAGAACAAATCAATGATCGGTATACCGTTTTTAATCAGTAAGTACAACAATTTTGTCTATTTGTATGTGTGTGTATTACAGTGAACAATTTTAATTTATAAGAAAGGTTGGTAAAATACTAAAAGAATAAATCGATTATCGGTATACCGTTTTTCATCAGTAAGTACAACAATTTTGTCTATTTGTGTGTGTATATATTACAGTGAACAATGCCAGCAAGACGCAAGGGAGCCCATTTAGGCTGTCGAACGAATAAAGCAACAAACATGCGAAATAGTAGAGCAGAAAGAACAGACGAACAAATCCAACAAGATAACGAAAATATGCGTGTGAGCATGTCGCAATTGCGTGCATCTCAATTACAAGAGGCACGAGCTGAACGAAATCAACAACGACAATTGGAACAGAGACAAGCGCACCGGTTCGTAGTTAACACACGCAGAGCAAATAACCGACAACGCCAACAAGTACATCGAGCATTTACATCCGCTTCGTTCCTTCGTCTCGCATTCGAGTACCAGCCAGATATTGAATATTCCGCTCATCCGAAAGTGCTGATTGGTGCTATGGGCAAAGAATGTCCCCATTGTCATGCGCTCAAATTCAAACATGAGTCAGCCGGGATATGTTGCGCTTCAACAAAAGTACAACTACCAGAAACTGAGACACCACCAAAACCATTGAACGGCTTGCTCATCGGCACGGATCCAGATTCAAACCTGTTCCTGAAGTCCATTCGCACATTCAATTCATGCTTTCAAATGACTTCGTTCGGAGCAACAGAAATAGTTCACAATACTGCAGCAAGTGGTCAACAATACAATTCAACATTCAAAATCAAAGGCCAAGTGTACCACAAATTAGGCTCATTGCTGCCAATGCCAAACAAACCACATACATTTTTACAAATCTACTTCATGGGCACACATTTGGGCACACTATGTTTTTCCCACGGACAATTATACGTGGCATGTTCTCGCGTTGGCAAACCATCGAGCTTATTTGTGTTGGCTAAAGACGGACTGACAAAAAATATCGTACACTCAATTGCTCTTCGAAATTAATATTGATTTTATTTATTTTATTTTCCTACTTTAGGATAAAAAATATATTACTTTTTTTCACATTACATTTAACTTTTAAGAGATCAAACAATGAATATGTCCGTTACGTTAATGAAATACATTGAATTGAGAAAATGAATGGTTGGTGTTTTTTTGTTTTTATCGGCGGTCATCGTCTACAGCGCTTAATTCTTCTCTTTGTCATAGATCCCATCCCCACACACTTACAATACATTCGTTATTTTTTATTTAACAACCAAAATATTCACTAGAAATAATTTATATGGCAGAACAATGTTCGCTTGGTCGGCTAGTATTATTATATTAGTCTACAAATATTGTATTATATTACATCGTATACATGCAATAAATTGGTACATAAATCAGCGGACGTTAAAACGTTTAAATAACGCATAAATAATATTCAGACGGATAAAGAAGGCATTACGGAAAATTACCAAAAACAAAAATGCACTTATAAATCTCGGGCATAAAATGATGAGCATATAAAAATGAACCAGTTATTTTCTATAGTGAGATAAAACAAATAATGTATCTGGTGAGGGATTTTTTTTTCATTTAATTTTTATCATTCAAGGCTATGTAAAGACAATATTTTAATACATCGAATTATCAGAAAATTATGTCGAGGTATAATTTTAATTCTGAATTACTTTTTACATCAGAACATACTGTTAATTCGAGATATTAAAAATACAATTATCTTTCCGTAGGCTTGAATAAAAAAAATTGACTAAATTGAATCAGGCTACTCAAAAATGTATGAAACTGAAAATTTCTAAGCAGATACACTATTTGTCTCATCTCACCATACATATGTATAAAATAATTGTGTGGGTTTTTTACGCTTTTCATTTTTTTTTACCCGATATTAATAAGTGCAATTTTTCGGGACATTTTTTACTACTTTTCTATTCGGCTGAATAATATTTAAATTATGCAAAAGTGAAACAGCCTGCCATACGTGCGAGTGTTATCAAATTTTTTTTTTAATCAGACCACGCTGCGACCACGACACATTAAAACAAAAAATGAAATGGAGAAATGTATCTATGTTAGAAATGCAAAAGCGTTAAGCGTTAAGGGAATGAAACGAGATTTCTTTTCCATTGCTGTCAATTTTTCTCTTACATCTTCATGAAAGTCCGTGTCGCAACAAGTGAGGCTGCTGACTTCCACCAGCTATGGATTATCATATATGAAGAACACGCATTGGGCGCATTGGCAACGATTCAGTTTCGTAATCGTAAGGTGCCGAGTTCGCGTCTAGTGACGGAAACTTTTTTTTCTTCATTTCTTTTTTGTTTAATTATTTTTACCCGGTGTTGCATGGCTCGCATGGGAGGGCGAAGTTCAAATGTAATGCAGTCCTAAACAAACCACACGCGAAATAAAATATGTGTAGTTCAAAACATTGCATATGCAGTTTTATAACAAATACTTTATGCAATGACATATGCGTCTTGCTAGAGACTTCATTGTTTTTCATTTGTCAAATAAAACACATGAAAATCGGGAATGAACTATAGCAATCGTAGAAAAGTAATAATAAACGGAACCTTTTCAAGAATACATATGCCGCGAATCCATGAAGGCATACAATGTTGCAAGCAAACTGAAAA